AACACTAAGGAATATCTTACACTGAGGAAAGGCCATAGTAAAAGTATTCTGTCAAGAAATAAACTAGGTGCTGGGCAGTGGTGGCACACACCTTGAATCACAGCACCTGGGAGGCAGAGACAGGCAAATCTCTGTGAGTTCCAGGCTAGCCTGGCCTATAGGTGAATTCCAGAACATTAGAGTTACACAGAGACACCTTGGAGGGAAAGTTAGGCATGGTGCTTGCTGAACATCCTTGATCCCAGCACTCTGGGTTGCTAAAATAGGTGGATCAATTTGAGTTAAAGGTCTGTGAATTTGAGGCCAGCCTGGTCTACATAGCAAGTTCCAGGTAGCTAGGACTACATAGTGAGTCCATTAGAGATAAATTTAAATGACAGAACTTAAAAGGGGATGAGGGAGGCAATAAAACAAAGGTATTTACAAATATAAAATTAGGCAACAATTAAGAGAGAAAAAATAGGTACCATCTAAGGTACAGAAACTGGAACAGGAGTGGCAGTTTCCTTGTTATTTTAAAACTCAGGTAATTTTAATGGTCATAAAACAAGGAACTTAAGACAATCTCTTAACTGTAAATAAATTCAGCCTCCAGTTTGTTCTGATGTAAATAAAGGCTAAACTACTGATAAAGCCAAGCTTTAATGACTGGTATAAATATATTATAAACAGCCTTATGGGCCCCATCACTTACTGTGGAAATGGGGCAAGTTACCTAATCAGGCAGCAGGGCAACCTCCTCCCTCAAGTAGTTTTGCAAGGATAATTATTGAAAACTATCTGATAGACAGGGTTGACCCATAATGAATTTTACTACTTTCTGTGAGTCTTTCTATTCCTCAGAAGCCCTCATTCTCTCATTCTGATCCAAAGCTGTCTTGTTGGTCACAAAGCATAAGAGAATGGACACATGGACAACTCAGCACATATCCTTGTTGGTGCTGATGAGCAAGCAGACTTATCTTTGTATAAGAAGGGCAGCATTATTCTTGTTATATGAAGAGGATTATCCCTGTTATCCACATTCTGGATTATTGCCAGCTCTCAAGAATTATCCCAATTAGTCTACAACATTGGGACAGAATCTTTTTTTCCCCCTCATTTAGGTCAATTTTGCAGTGCTTCTAAGGTCTTCAAAAACAAACAAAAAACTACAATTCATCAGTCCTTATTCCCACATTTTTAATGCACTTCTTCACAATCCTTCTAAAGTCCCAGCTGCATGCACTACATCAAGGGAGAAATCAGCTCAATTCAGCTAAATGAATTGCCATAGCCAACATTATGATTACTAATTATACCTAAACTCATAATCCCAACAAAGTACAAAGATAACAAGAGTATTAAGGATTTATCCTTTATCAGTAACTCAGTCATCTAGTCAACCACAGGTCTTAACTTTTGTTTTGGTTAATGGAGACCAGGGAGGCTTCATATTTACTTTCTGCTGAGGATGATTTGAACTCCTAATATTCTGTCTCCATCCCCCAATTACTGGTGCTAACCCTAGAAATGACAAGATATAATCCTACTTTCCCTCTATGGGAAAAGGTAAAATTACAAAACATTGAAAGCACCAGAAACGACAGCAAAAATAGCCCAGGAAATGACTGATATAAAAGAATTTAACATAATTGAGACTGAAGAAAATCACAAAAACTGAACCCATTGAGCCTGCTTACAAAACAATAGCCTAATAAAGGCAATCATTTGCTTTTAAAAATAAAAAATAAAAAGAAAAGGAAAAAAACCAGGGCTGAAAGGATAGCTCAGTATCTGACAGTTTGTTGCTTTTCCAAAGGATACAAATTTGGTTCCCAGCATGCATGTTGGGCAGCTGACCCCTGCCTGTGTATCAGTCCAGCTCCATGGGATCCAGAATACTCTCTTCTGGCCTCCTCCATAGGCAACCCCACACATGTAGCACACACATATACACATAATAAAAAAAATTTTTTTTAAGAAAAAGCCAAGGCTAGGGAGATCACTCAGTGGGTAAGAACTCTTACTGGGTAAGGATGAGGGTATGAGTTTCACTGTCCAGCATCCAAATTTAAAAAAAACAAAAAAAACAAAAAAACAGGGATATGGATGTACATGGCTGTAAACCCATAATTGGGAACAGATATACAGATCCCTGGAGCTCAACTGCCAGCCAGCTAGCCTAGCTGACTTGAAGCCAAACCACCTTCAATGAGACCCTTTCTCAAAGCAGTAAGCCCCCCACAAAAAAAAAAAAAAAAAAAAAAAAAAAGAAAGAAAGAAAGAAAGAAAGAAAGAAAGAAGGAAAAGAAAAATCAATAGAGGAAGATACCCAAAGTCCTTCTCTAGCCTCCATATGCACACACATGAGCACAGGAAGCTGGACAGTCATATGTTTACAGTCCTAATATATATACCCAACACACATGAAAAATAAAAGTTAAAAAGCCACCACAAGCAACAAAGGTTTGTTTTATGGTTCCCTTTGGTATATGTCAATTCTAGGTAAAAGTCAAGATATGTAACATTCCATGAAAACCACCAAAAAACACATAATGCAAGCAAAAATCACAATACAAAGACTGGGTCACTGTCCCATGGCAGAGCATTAACCTAGTATGTGTAACTCTAGGAATTGGATCCCTGGCTCCACAAAAACAAAATAAAATGTACATGATGGCCTGGCATAGTGGGACACATTTTTATTCCCAGCACTCTCTAGGCAGAGCAGGTGGATGTCTGTGAGTTTGAGTCCAGCCTACTCTACAAAGTTCTAAGATTGCTGAGTCTACAGAGAGAACCTGTCTCAAAGGTAAGAAAAAAGCACAATTCAAATATTTGATTTCAGGTAATAGCTTTATTCTCATTACTTTAATGGAATTTTTTCAGGTTTGACTTTGTCAGGCTCTTGGTAAGGTTGTGTGGGGGTCAACTCCATCCAGGCCTCTGACATGCTACACTCCTGCCTTATTCTAGGTTTTGCTTTCTTGATTTGTGACAAGGTCAAGTCCAGGCTGGCTTCAAACTCAAGATCTTCCTGCCTCTGTCTCTCAAGTGCTATATTAGTATCATAGACACAAGCTACTAGCTCTCTTTTTAACCAATGAGTAGTAAGCTGTGTCCCTATGACTAAGATTTCAAGAGTTATGCCATCTTCTTCCAGTGATTTCTGAATGAGATGGTTCAGCAGTTAAGAGCACTTGCCCCTTTTGAAGAGGACCCAGGTTTGGTTCCCATAACGCAGCTCAAACCATCTGCATCTGCAAGTCCAATTTCAAATATCTAACACCCTCCTGGCCTTATAAGCACCATGCACTCACATACATACAGGCAAACACCCATACTCATAAATGATAAGTAAAATAGTTTTAAGAAACTATTGTGCTCTTCCATGCTTTCATTCATACTAGGAAAAGTTAACATCTACTTTAAAGCCACTGTAAATTTGCTTTTATTCCTTTACTTCCTTTCAGACCTCCATCTTAAACCTTCATCTAAACAACAATAACAAAAAAAAAAAAAAAAAAATCACATAAAACAGTAACCAAAAATAATTTCAACTAAACCATTCTCAATTTCCTTTCAAGATTTAGACCTTTCAGCCTTTAAAATGGAGGAAGGAGGTCAGGTGTTGACAGCACATGTCTTAACTTCCAGAATATCAGGAGTCAGAGGCAGGTGGATCTCTGTGAGTTCCAGGAGCGCCAGAAATATGTAATGAGACCCTTTCTCAAAATCAATCAGGCATGCTGTTGTTCCTGCATGTAAGAAACTGAGGCAGGACTGTTCTGAATTCAAGACAACCATGGGCTATGTATCCAGTGCTAGTCCAGCCATGACTAAATAGTGAGCCCTGTCTCAAAAAATAAGACAAAGAAAAGGAAATAAAGCAACAAGAAGGTGGGAATATTACCTAGTCATCTAGACTGATCGAAATTTTGAGCGGGACTGCGGAGTGTGAAATCCTGGCACCACGGACAAGCTCCAATATAGCCTACTAAGCAAAAACCAGCCTCAAAAGAAAGGGGGGGGGGTGTTGAAGGAACTGTTTTAAGAGGAAAAAAGGTTAGATGCTAGTGTTTAATACAGTATTTCAAACGCATTTCTCGGTTGTTGATTCTGATAGTCTACCAAACCGAAGTTTGTTGGGTTTTTTTGTTGTTGTTGTTTTGTTTTTTGTTTGTTTTAGTTTTTCGAGACAGGGTTTCTCTGTGGCTTTCGAGGCTGTCCTGGAACTAGCTCTTGTAGACCAGGCTGGTCTCAAACTCAGAGATCCGCCTGCCTCTGCCTCCCGAGTGCTGGGATTAAGGGCCTGCGCCAAACTTTTCATTGCAAAGTGGATGGGAAGCAGTGGCATTCAGCCCTCTCGTTTTCTTGCCGACATCCCTGACTCCATCACCCTCCAGTGTGCTGCTCCCACTGCGAGCTTCAGCTAACGCTTGGCGGTTTCCCTCGCATCACCGCTCACACAGACGACCAAGTTGTCATTGCTATAATTACCACACCCCCGTCAGCAGCTCCAGGCCCGCGTAGTTATGACATCTGTAAACTGCAGCCTCCCGTCTCCACCCCCACCGCCTCCCTCCAAACACCGGCCCGGGCGGTAACCTGCCAACTCCCGAACGGCCCCGCACGCCTGGGCCTCGGCCACCGCGGGTGGCCCCGCGCCGCCCCCGCCCTCGGGCGAGCGCGGCGCGCAGACTCCGCGCCGCCGCCCGGCGCCCCGCAGTCCCCGACGCGGTTTCCACCGCCGCGCCGCCCCGCCCCGACCGGCGTTCCTCACAGCGGCGCTCCCCACCCCCACCCCGCTCCGCCGCCGCCGCCGCGCGGCCGTTAGAACCGCCGAGCCCGTGACGCACGGGCGCGACGCGAAGGTCCGGTCCCCGGCGCGACAGCGACAGCGACAGCTCCGGCCGCCGCCCGCGTCCGCCTTCGCCCCGGGGCCTCCCTCGGGTCCGCGGAGGGAACCCAGAGCCGCCCGCCGAGGGGGAGGGGCCGCGGGGAAGCCCCCCACTCACCGGCTCCAGGCGACCGGTGCCGCTGTGAGGGTGAGACGCTCGCTCCTCGTCCGCCCGCTGCGCCTTTTCCGCGCACAACCTTGAGCAGCCGGCGCGCACCACGGCGGCGCTCACCAGGCCTCGCTCTCCGCTGCCGCGCACCGAGCCGCGAGACCCAGTTCAGCCGGCGTGCGCAGTGCGCCTGCGTGCGGGGGCCGGCCTGCGCTCCTGCGTGCGCCTTTTCCGCCGCCCGCCGCAGGGGCTGCCGGGAAGCAGAGTCTCCGGAGCGTTCTTTCCCGAGTGGACGCTCTAGGCTAGGACCCGCCTGAGCAAAGGCAGCGCCCGGGGCGTGCGTCTCTGAGGACGAGGTTTGCAATCAGTAAAAGTAAAGACGTGCAGGAGTTATGGAAACAAATTGCCCTTACTAAGCTCTTCTAGAGGGGACGAATCGCCCCCTCACATCTCCATAGCTACCCCTCTCACTTGGTAGGAACCTCACACCGAGCTCGCTTATTGGACGAACGATGGCATGGTTGGAGGCTGAGGGAGTATTACAAAATACGTCAGTGTCTCACGTTCAAAGAATTCACACGCAACTCGTTTGCAGGAACCTTCTGGGTATTCTCTTCGACTCTCTCCCATTTTGCCTGGTAATTTATTAGTATCATAAAACATTAACAAATAAATTTTTGAGTCCGGCTTGGTAATGCACGCCTGTGTTCCCAGCACTGGGAAGGCTGAGGCAGGAGAATGGCGAGTTCTAGACCGACGTGACTACGTAGGAAGATCTTGTCTCGATATTGTTAATTTTTAGTAAAAACGTTGGCATTGATCTGAGTAAGTTCTCTCAAACAAAATGTTTAGGAAAATGATTGTTTTTCTTTCTGGAGAGAAGGGTTATGGCTTCAAAAGAACACCTTAAGCAAGCCAAGCAGAGGTCACGGGAGATCTCACACACAGGACATGGTTTAAGGAGTCACTTTAAAAGGAATGCTGAAGAGCAACAGACGGTTGTCAATACCTTTATAAGTGTGAGAAAGAGGGAGAGGAAGGACCACACTGAATCCTAGGTAAAGCAATGTTCATTTGTCTTGGCTCCAGTGGTGGTTTTAATGAAGTTAACACAAACTAGTCACCTGGGAAGAGGGACCCTGAATTGAAGAATTGTTCCCATCAGATTGGCCTGTGGGCATGTCTGAGGCATTTTCCTAACTCATGACCGGCTGGCACACTGTGGACAGTGTCACCCCTGGGCTGTATATGACCGCAAGCTGAGAACGAGCCAGTATCCGCATTCCTCCATGGTCTGTTTGAGTTACTGCCTCCAGGTTCCTGATTTGAATTCCTGCCCTGGCTTCCCTCAGAGATGTACTGTAAGTTGGAATGCCTGCCTCCAGGTTGCTTTGGTTACTGCAATAACAGCAATAGAAAGCAAACTAGAACTTCCTCCCTCCATCCTTCCCTCCCTTTGTTCGTTCTCAGCCTGTTTATTACAATTAGAACTAAGTTTGAGTAAGGCAGCTGGAAAAAGAAAGTGTTCTATCAGACTTAGGGCCAATGTGCTGTCTACTTTTATGTCAACTTGACACAAGCTAGAGTCATCTGAAAGTAGGGAACCTCAATTGAGAAAAATTGAACCTCCAAAAGACTCAGCTGTAGGGCATTTTCTTATTAGTGATTGATGGGGGAGGGACTAACTCAGTGTGGTCGGTGCCATCCCTAGCCTGGTGGTCTTGGGTTCTATGAGAAAGCAGGTTGAAGCTGGATGTGATGGTGCAGGTCTTTAATCCCAGGACTCAAGAGGCAGAGGTAGATGGATCTCTGTGAGTTTGAGGCCAGCCTGGTCTACAGAGCTAGTTCCAGGACAGCCAGGGCTACACCGAGAAACCCTGCCTCAAAAACAAATAAAAAAGCAGGCTGAATAAGCCCTTCAGAGCAATCCCATAAGCAGCACTCCTCCATGGCCTCTTCATCAGCTCCTGCCTCTACTTTCCTGCCCTGTTGGGGGTTCCTGTCCAGGTTTCCTTCAATGGTGCACTTAGCTGTGGAAGCGTAAGCCAAATAAACCCTTTCCTCCCCAACTTGCTCTTTGGTCACAGTGTTTCATGGTAGCTATGGAAACCCTAACTAAGATGGGCAAGTAATACCTGACCATAGCTGAGTTGATGTCTGATCCTTATTGGGAGCTAAGACTCATTATTGAGAATAGTCTTCATGGAGGCTGGTTTATTCCCTAATCCACCCTTACTCCTAGATAGGTATGGTCCTTAAGAGTCTTAACCAAAAGTCATGGGTATGCATCCAAGAAGGTCTCTTCTCAGCTCCATAAGACAGCCAAAGCTCTACTCAGTGTATTAGCCATTGCTTTTAGAATCAGCAATCACCACAGGATCGGAAAAGCAATGGCAAATGTGACTCTCTTCCATATTTTGCACTTCACTAATGTTTTTAGTATTTTCCTGTTGTTTTTTGTTTTTGTTTTTAGTAATGAAAGGGATGATCCAAATCAACTACAGAAGCATAATGCCTACACATGCTGCCTATACAAAATTGATATCATACCATATGTGGTGTTCTATGTTTCTGACCATTTTTGTATTTTGAGTGTGTGTGGGGTGTGTGTGTGTGTGTGTGTGTGTGTGTGTGTGTGTGTGTGTGTGTGTGTTTGAGGCAGGATTTCTTTGTGTGACAGTCCTAGCTGTACTGACACCAGCTTTGTACAACCAGGCTGTCCTCAAACTTAAAAAGATCTACCTGCCTCTGCCTCCTGGGTGTTGAAATTAAAGGTGTGTGCCACCACACTCAGCCTATGACTATTCTTGTATATATACTGCCTTTTTAATTTAAAAAATTATGTTTAAGTGTATTTTGACTGTGTGTGTGTGTGTGTACACTGCCATATATGTGCACAGACAAAAGGATCTCTGAGTTTGAGGCCAGCCTGGTCTACAGAGCAAGTTTCAGGACTGCCAGGGCTACACAAAACCCTGTCTTCAAAACCAAATATATATATATAAACAATCCCCTGGCAGCGGGTAGTGGTGGTATCCTCACATCAGCCAGGTGCAGAGCACATGGCAGTCCTTTGTTCATGCTAGCTTGATGCTGGCTTGGTGGCCAAAGCTGTTTCATGCCTAAGGCACATAAACAAACAAACAAATGAATAAATAGACAAAAAGTTTTGGGCCAACCGGGCTATGTGAGGCTCTTTCTGCAAATAAACACACAAAAGAATTGCTTTTCACTTCTCCAGAATGGCTACCTACTTTGTGTGTATCCTTTACAGCTATAAATTAACCATGCAGACTCTCTGTATCTCACATACCTACCACTGTAAAAGCACTCTGACATGTATAGTATTCCGGCCACTGTAAGTTAAACATCTTTTCTAGGTCTCGGTTATAGTCAGTGGTAGAGTGCTTACCTAACATGCCTAAGGCTATAGGTTCAGTCCCTAGGACCACAAAATAATAACAACGATAATACCTACCTTATGTAAAACCTCTTTCCACAAAGAAAATTGCTGTTAAGCACAGATGTTATCTGAAACTGCAAATTTGTAATTAAATCTTAAATAAGTTTACGGTTTGAGTAAAGAAATTTAGGAAGTTCATTTTAACTTGCTTGCCTTTTTCTGGGGACATTTTTAACAGTGTAGAACTAACTCTATTTCCAAGATGTTAGTCTTTTCCCCTGTGCTTCACTGAACAGCTCAGTCAGCCCTGTGTTCCCTGTGGCTTTTTCACAGATGACTTGTCCTCTCTCTCAGCATGGTACCACAGACCTCACATACATGTATGTGGACACTTCATCTACACATTCAGACCCACTGTCCTGACAGTTGTCTCCCTTTGGCTCTTCTTTCTTTTTATTACTATTACATTTATTTATATTGGAAGGGGTTTTGTGTGGATGTCAGAGGACAACTTGCAGGAGTCAGCTCTTTCTTCCAACCATTGGAATTCCAGGATCGAACTCAGGTCATCGGACTTGGCAGTAAGTGACTTTACCTTCTGAGCCATCTCACCCACAGCCAACCCACATCTTTTTTTAAATGTGTGTGTGTTAGAGACTTGAACCTACGGCCTCACATAGGCTAGAAAAGCATTTTCTAATCGCCTAAAAGCAACATAGTCTGTTTTGGGGAGAGGCAAGGAAGAGACCCAAATGTGTTCTGTGGATGGACTCAGAACTCCTTAAGCAGGAAATCTGAGGTTTCCAGATACCTAATGGCTGGCTCAGGAGTGAGTATTGCAGACTCCCTTGTGTTGATGGACTCAGCTATGGCAGACCTAGAAGGAGTCCTTTCAAACAAGGGACCATGACAGGTGATCTTGCAAGCCAATAGCCTAAAGTAGAGATTTTCTTGCCCGGATTCCAGGACAGGACCATGTGATAACATAAGCATGTTTCTTACAAGGAGAACACAGCTTAAAGACAGACCAGCAGTGAATGTTCTTGTGGGATATTGAAGAGTAAGAGGTAGAGGGTTTAGAAGTACAGATCAATGTGGTCTTGGAAGTAGGCAATACAGAGATAACTCAATTAGCCAGGACAAATAAGCTCTCATTTAAATTTTCCCAAAGACTGTTATCCTCCTTTAGTTATACCTAATCATATTTGTTCACATATCCATATCTGCCTTTCTGATTATTCAGGATGAAAGGCTTTAAGGATACCAGTCTTGCTTAGCATCCACAAAGTGAATGAAGCACCTATAATGACCAGTAAATGCTTGGTGAGTTAATACTTAAGCCACATGGTGAATGAAAGGCATTAAACTTTCGTTTGTTTGGGTTGCTTTCAGGGGAATTTTTTTGGAGGGGGGAGGGATGGGTATTTTGTTTTTCCAGACAGGTTTTCTCTGTGTAGCCTTGGTTGTCATGGAATTCAATGTGCAAAGCAGGCCAGCCTTGAACTCAGAGCTCTCTCTGAAAGATGTGGGTGGCACTGTTTGATAGCACTGAATCCAAACTGAGTACCAATCTTTTGATGTTCTTCCAGTTCGCATTATTTCATTTCCCACATAACTACTCAGAGCCAGTTACTCAGACAAAGGTGATTTATTATCCAAAGCACTTTACAAAATTATATAGAAAATCTAAAATAATTCCGTTGTTCTATTTTATACTATCATCTTTTTAGTTGGCTTGACTTATTAGAAAAGAATATCTTAGTTACATGTAAAATATTCTTGCTTTTGCCTATAGCAAAGGAGATGAAGGATGTCAATGACAGAGACTAAACAGTGCTACCATCCAGGACCTCCCACCAGGACTGCGGTGAAGAGTCCATCGCTAGACCTGATGAGTAGTCCTGTCCCCACATCTGATGCTGTGACAAAGTCCTATCCTGTGTACAAGTCCACAAATACTGGGGCACTGCCTGCATGCCATTAAAAACAACAATGGTTTCAGGGTTGGAAACACTGTCAACCACGCTGTCATGAACATCGAAGGCCCCAGGATTCAATGGTGGTGGGGAAATATTTAAGTTATTACCCTGACAGAAGGAGCCTGTGAGCACTTCTGCCTCAAACACATAGATTAGTCTATCTGTGCTAGAGGTCTTCTTGACCTTCTCTGCTAGTTTTTTGAGGCTCTTGGTGAAATGTATGCCGGCTCCATAAACTGGGTCTGAAAGAGAAAAAAAAAATTATGTTCTAACAGATGATGGCTATTTGGGTGTTAATGTTTCCTCCACCCTAAGTTGCTCCTAAGACAATATAATTGATACCATCAACAACTATTTTACACTAGAATATATAATTAGAATTTACAGAGAAGTCACTAGCTTTCAAAGCAAGTTTGCATTGTTTAGATTCAATTAATGTGTAAATGAAATGATGTTTTCATTTAAAGCATGAAAATCTAGGATCGGGACAAATTATGATTCAAGTCATTATTAACCAGGCAGTTCTCAGCAGCAAGGAAGTCTGTTCTTAGAACATTGGTTGGCTACACAGGCTACAAATGGGTGTAGCAGTGCTAGGACAGCAGGATCACATACACAGCATGAAAATCAAAAAGGGAAGGGGAGTGGGCAAGGAGTCAGAGTCATGGACAAGGTAAGAGAAAAAAGATGTAAATGTGCTCGTTTCTTATCCCAGAAGAACAAGCTGGTTTGGGAGAGCACAGCCCTTACATCATCCCTCACAAGGTAAGCTGGTCTCTTACTGTGTGACCAGGCACAGTGCCTCACCAAGTATCCTCCACTGTTGAACAAGATTCATGCTGACTGCTAATTTCCACCCATCAGGCATTCTGGAGACTATGATGATGCTTCTTTCCCACTACTAGAGATGAACAGTCTCCACTCTTGTATAACACCTATCATATTATAGATTCCAGGATATTAACAACACTCAAGGGCCAGGCATGGTGATACACATCTGTAACCCTGGCACTCAGGAGGCTGATATGGGAGGATTCAGAGTTCAAAGCAAACTGAAACTATATAGGAAGAAACAACAGAAATGCAAACAAGCAAATCCAAACCCTCTAAGACTAAGAATCAAAGTGCCTTTTCCTATAGAGGGACTTAATGCAGCTTAGTGACATGGGTTAGCATCACAAAGCCATGGTTCACACCCGGGCACTGAAGACAAAAAAACCTCATGCAGAGGGGAACACACTAAAACTTCTCTGAAGCTCTGTTGCCATTCCTTCCTTCTTCCTGCCCCTTCTATACTGTCTGCCATGATACTGGAACACCTCAGTGTCTCAGAAGCTCACTTCTCCCCACTGTGTTCCGTCCCATGAATGCAGGCTCCCATTGCTGAGCCTGCCTGCAGTCTTGACTTGTACCTCAGCAAGTGCATCCGTCCTTCTATTTCCACTTCCCTCTGCCAAACCAACACACAGACTTCCAGCTTGCTTGCCGCCCGATTATTTTGTCTCATTCAAGTGAAGTAGTCTTTGAGTCCCCTGGCCGGTCCATTTTTAAAACTGTTTTAGTGACATAACTAAGATCCTGAAAAAGGGATTCTGTGTCCCCTTATGGCAGTATGAAGACATGAACTTGACCTCAAATCAGTTCTCTTACTTGCTTACTTAAAAAAAAAAAAAGAGCGTGTATCTGTGTGAATGCTGGTATGTATATTTGTGCATGCAGTGCCCACAAAGGCCAGAAGAGGGCACTGAATCCCCCGGGACTGTAGTTAACAAATGGTTGTAGGTTACCAGGTGGGTGATGGGAATCAAACCCTGGCCCTGCAGAAGAACAAGTTCTTTTAACTGCTGAGCCATCTCCAGCCATGCCTGCTGTGCTTTTTTTTTTTTTTTTAACCGTTTTGATTTATTCATTTTTATTGCATGTGTGAGTGGTTTTGCCCACATGAATATGTGTGCATCATTTATGTGCTTGGTGCCTGACAAGGTCAGAAGAGGATATCAGATCCCCAGAACTGGAGTTACCCATGGTTGTGAACCACCAGGTAGGCCCTGGGAATCAAACCTGGGTCCTCTACAAGAGCAACAAGTGCTCTTAACCACTGAGCTTGCTGAATCTTCTTGCTGAAAATTGTAATCTGACTAATAATCTGAGCATGTTCTAGCCTGTGAGACAATGCAAGGTCAGTCTCCTGGTTAGACAGTAGATCTATAAATGAACAAAGGCTCTAAGGGAGATTGTTTCCTGGCTGAGTGAGCAATGCTTCTTATTCCTGTCAAATACACATGGTAAGTAATTGTTCTGTTTTCTCCCTCCTTTCAAAATGAGAGTTATCACTACATTTATCCCAATTCTTTCCATACCATTAGCTAATGAGTAAGAGGGGACACTTCACTTGCAAGACTACACCTGATTCATTCTCGGAAAATGGAGGTTGAAAGGGCTAGACATAGTGGTGCATGCCTTTAATCCCAGTTTCTGTGGAGGGAAGGCAGAGGCAGGCAGATCTCTGTGAGTTTCAGGCCAGCCGGGACCACATAGACTCTGTCTTACAAACAAAACAAAAATAAACCAGGGGCGGGTGCAAATCATAAGTTTCTCAAGTGTAAGTAAATGTGCTTCTAACTAAGGAATGAGGGGTTGGTATTGATAATTTTGTTGGGATGAAACAGGCTAAGCAGTGACACAAGGTGCCCTCTGCAGACAGAAACAAGAATGCAATTAAAACCTGAACCATACATCCTGCTGTTGACACTTGCATCAAAGTAACGGCCACCAACAAAGGATGAAATATCAACCATTTCCAAAAGACTTCACCTCTAAAGGCCAGTGGCAAACGATCTCTCCTCACAACTGTACACCGATGTCTCCTTGCCCTGCCCATGTAGGCAGCCCCGAGGATGAGGCTGATACCTACCGTGAGGTGTTGAGTACAGTCTGTGAAAGCCGACTCTGCACACCACATTGCAAAACTGATAGGGAACCTGCTGAAACAACCTTTGGCTCCCAAGTGCCCTCGGCGTTCTCTCTTCCATCATTTTCTTCTTCTCTTGGAAGGCAGCCATGAGCGCATTATTGTCTATCTGCTCCACCTATAATCAAAGCAAAGAAAAAAAAATGCAATTGGACTGATTAATGGCTACTTAAATTGTCTCCTGCAGTACTTGGAAAATACATGTGCTATGTGCATAGAAATAGATGCATTTTCTTTTCAGTTCTCTCCTAATTTGGTTTCTCCTTCAGAATCTGCTGGTTTCAATAAGTGCATTTAATAAAGTCAGTTATATGTCTATAGTCCCAAAAGTGGAGTCAGGAGGGTCAAAAAGGGACCAAGGGCAATTTCAGCTACATAACAAATATGAAAAAAAAAAAAAAAAAGCAACAATAAAAATTCACAGGCTTGAGAGATGGCTCAGTTATTTGGTAAAATGCTTGGATTGAAAGCATGAGGACCTAAGTTTGATCCCCAGAATCTACATTTTAAAAAGCCAATCATTGTGTCATGAGCTTATGGTCCCAGCACTGGGGACAGAGTCTGGGGCTCACGAGCTAGCCAACTTAGAGAAGTTAGTAAATTCCAAGTAAAAGTGAGAGACCCTGACTTAGTTGCTATTCTGTTGCTGTAAACAGATACCACAATCAAGGCAACTCTTGGAAAAGAAAGCATTTACCTGGGGGCTTGCTTACAGTTTTAGGGGATTAGTTCATGATGCTCATGGCAGGAAGCAGACAGGCATGTGCTCCAGAAGAAGCTAAGAGCTTTCCATCCCAATCCATAGGCAGAGGGCAGACATAGGAAGTGTGCAGCCTGGCACGGGCTTTTGAAACCTCAAAGCTCACCCCAGTGGCACACCTCCAGTAAGGCCACACCTCCTAAACCTTCTGAAACTGTGCCACCAACCATTCAAACACATGAGCCTATGGGGGCCATACTCATTCAAACCGCCATAGGCCCTGTCACAAAACACAAGGTGAGCTGGGGAAGATGAGTGTCCTAAGGAAGGACAATAGCCAGGGTTCTCTGACCTCCACATGTTAGAAACATCAAGTATTAGTCTTTTCTGAGAAGAAATTCAAATCGTCTTATCTCCTCCACCTAGAAAGACTTTCATGCACATTTAATCGCTGCCCTATAGATCTTTTCTATTTACAAAGGCCAGACAGCATTGCCAGAGCTTAAGAAATTTAGGCACTGACCCTCCACCCGCTTTCCTTCACTTCCACGGATACACTGTGGGTTAGACCCCAGTCTACAGGGAAAAGACAGACACCACCTGTGTTAGAATTTAAACCAAGCCAACTCCCCACCCAGTCTGCTGGCTCTTCTGCTTTCCGAGTAGCACACCCTGCTAATTTGAAGGAAAGTTTGCGTTGTGGAGATGCTTTAATTGGAGAAGCCTCTCATTTCAACAACACACACATACCAGGCATGTATATCCTGCCACACACAACAAATCCACTGTGTTATCAGTACGTGCCAGCACAGGTACTGGAATGACCAACAATGCAGACATAGTGTGTGTCCCATTACAGCTAATGGTTTGTGAGATGAAACCGAGGTAGCACAGAGGACAACGCACTGCTGTGCTTACCACTGTTGTGGTCACCGATAGGTAGACCACTGCTCATGAAGTCTGTGGCTCTGCATGTCTGGATGTCATTCCTACCCACCCAGTCTTACTCCAGACTCCAGGTGACCCAGTAGCTGCCCGAGAGTCCTTGGCAGGTGAATTGTTATTTTGGCCCGAGACTCAATGAACAGCAAAGTAAAGCGGAGCCTCCCTTGATTAGGTATACCTTCACAACCCACAAGCCACACTTCTCAAACTGTTTCTTCTGGTCCTCAAGTTCCTGAGTTAATGGAATAGGGTAACGAAGGTATGTGTGAGAATTTTCCCTGTCATCCAGTTTTCCTTGCTGATCGGTCCACTGTCCTAAAAAAGGAGGAAGACAAAAAACCTTGTTTCAGTACTTTGAGAACACAGGGAAAAATATTAGACAAGATTCAATGAAACAAATTCTTACTGCACAGTGGTGGCACACATCTTTAATCCCAGCACTTGGGAGGCAGAGACAGGAGGATCTCTGAGTTCAAGATCAGCTGGGTCTATAGAGTTCTGCGACAGCCAGAGAACACAGAGAAACACTGTCTCAAAAAACAAAAGTCTAAAAATGTGGAAGAGCAGGCCCCTGAGAGCATATACACTGTGCTGCTTTCACATCCAAGAAGAGCCGCACCGGGCACCCAGGAGCTGTTCCTGCTTCAAACAAACAGAAACCCTTGCTCTTCACCAGCTCCTGGAAAGTCTGTAAAAACGAGGCAGAAGCCTGCCACCCCTGCCATGGAGTCTCTGTATTCTAGGCCTAAAAGCTTGGCTGTATCTATTCACAAGAGTACCAGTCTATTTAACCCATCTTAAGGTTGAAAGCACCTAAACCTTTAGTCACCTGGATTCCGGGAACCACAAGATCTTCCCAGGCAGTACAGACCACTTACAAGGTTAGAACAGCTGTCCCTGATGGAGACACATCTTGTAGACTACAGATTAGTCCTCCACCGTAGATGACTGTGATTAACATCAATTTATGAGACCACTTTGCAGGACCCTGAACTGAGATAATGATGGGCAGGAAAATCCTTGACAAGGACTGCTTGCTTTCTCTGCCTCTCCTCAAAGGATTTTTTTTGTTTTGTTTTGAGACAGGGTTTCTCGGTAGCTTTGGAGCCTGTCCTGGAATTCGCTCTGTAGACCATGCTGGCCTCCAACTCACAGAGATGCGCCTGCCTCTGCCTTCTGAGTGCTAGGATTAAAGGCATGCACCACCATTGCCTGGAAAGTTGTTTTTTTTTTTTTTTTTTTTAAGATTTATTGTCATTTTATGGGATGTTTGTCTACATGCCTGTTTGTGAGAGATATGCATGCAATACATGCAGGGACCAGAAGAGGGCATCAGATCCTCTGGAACTGGAGTTATTTGTTAGTGACCATGTGTTTGGAATCAAACCCAGGACCTCTGAAAAGCATCAAATGCTCTTAACTGCTGAGCCATGCCATCAGTCCCCCAATTCATCCTTTAATTAAGCCTAAAACTCACATAAATATTGAGAAGAAGAAATTGGAGGTTCTGGGACTCTTTAACACTTCATCTTCCCAATGTGAACTGATGAAATCCTTCTCTGCTACACTGTCTCTGAGTTGACACACTGGAAAGGGTGGCTGAGCTGAGCCTCCTGGGGCTGCAAAAGCTGAGCTTTGAAAATGGGAAGGGGACATTAATTATACTTTCCCCCACAATATGCTGTAATCATGGCAAATGGTTATGTTGCTCATAGGAAATGTTTGTAGTTCAGCCAGGTTTCAAAAGTACGAATTAAGAAAACTGGCTCGGCAGTTGAGAGCCTTGTTCTTGCAGAGGACCAGGTTCCCAGCACCCACATAGTGGCTCACAACTATTTGTATCTCAAGTCCCGAGAGATGTGACACGGTCATCTGGCCTCTATGGGCACTGCAGGCACATGGTACCTAGTAGACATGCATGAATACCCATACACATAAAAAGCAAAACATTAAGGAAGCATGGGAAACAAAAGGATATTCATGTAACATTCCAATTTTTGAGCCCATTCTCCACCTCATATTTATCACACCACCCTGAACTACTCAACAGAGCTTCATAAACAAGGAAGCAGAAATCAGAGAAGTTAAGCAACTTGCCCAATAAATACAACCAAATAGGTAAGCAGAGATCTCAACCTGGCTCACAAACCTGGCTTCCTATAAGGAGACACAGAAAACTACAGGAAACTTGTGTCACTTGTATGAGCAAGAGCAGAATTTAGAGCTGAACAAATGTGGTCTCCTCTCCTCCCTCCCTCTCTCCTTTCCTTGTTTTCGTCCTCCTTTGTTTCCTTCACTCCTCTCAGTCCCTTTTGAAATTCAACAGACCACCTGTTTTTGTCCAAGGAAGCTTTCCACTTGACTGAACACACAGGTAGGTAAACAATAGCCAAGGGGGGAAGGGGGTTTGACTCCAGAACAAGCGTACTCACCCCGAGCACAGTGCCTAGCCAGAGGACTTCAGTTCAACCATGCAAAAAGCAGGGATAAAAGTCAAGGGAGCTGCCTAGAGGGCTAAGGTGTAAATTTAAGAAGACAAGAGGGACAAAAACACAGCAGAGGCTCAGAGCCCCAGACCTCAAAGGAAGAGACCAGCAGCTCACAATTACAATGTGTGACATTAGCATTCTTGTCTCTGGAAGTCAACTTTAACCAAACTCCTGCTGCAGGCAAGGCTCTGCAGGGGATGGGCACCTGAGACCACAGGCCCACAAACTTCTACTGTCAGAAGAAAGGACAAAGCAGAAAAACACTGGTAGAACAGTCATATAAAATAAATAAATTTTAAAAAAATCAACTGATACATAGTTGACATCCCATAGGATAATAGATGTTAAAAATGATTCTGTTACTAACATACACTTTGATGTAAGAGAGGATATTCATTTGAACCCACAAAATGCTACTGTGAGGCCTACTCTTCTACCAAAAATGCCATTTTTTCAGGAGAACCTGAGACTTCTGTGACTCTATACTGTTAATCGTGGGTCTCGAGAGCTAACACTGGTGTCAGTTTAGATATTCAGATTCATTTTGTATCAAAAACCAAATGAAAAAACATAATCTTAGTTCTTAGGCTTTGTTTTTGCCTGCATGTGTCTGGTGCCAGCAGAGGTCAGAAGAGAAGAAGAGTCAGATCCCCTAGACCTGGAGTTATAGGTGTTTTTGAGATGCCATGTGGGTACTGTGAAGTTAACCCAGGTCTTCCATAAAAGCCAACAACTGCTTTAACTGCTGAGCCAAAGAAGGGTTTTCAGGCCCAGCCAGGCCTGAAATCTCCCATTCAGCAGAGGATGACCTTGAACTCCTAATTCTTCTGCCTACACCTCCTGAGTGCAATCACATCATATGCCCCTGCAACTCGTTAGCCTATACTCTTTTGTTTGTTTGTTTGTTGTTGTTTGTTTTCTTTTTTTTTTTTTAAGACAGGGTTTGTCTGTATAGCCCTGGCTGACCTTGAACTCACAGAGATCAGCCTGCCTCTGCCTCCCAAGAGCTGGGACTAAAGGTGTGCACCACCACTGCACAGATACACTCTTTACTTCTCGAGACTTTCTTTCTTTGGTTAGTTGTCAATTACTCAGCTTTCCATTTGCCATACCTCCTCCAAGAAGCCTTTTCTTGGGTTACCAGGGATAAGGTGTCCTTTATAATTCCAGAGCATGGCTACCTTCCTCTGTCATAATTCACCTGCTCACTGACCAGTATCCTCTGTTAGATTTTGAGCAGGAACAGAGTTCACCTTATTTATCCTCAGTATCTAGCACAATGCACTATGTAGTAGGTAAATAAATCAATGGAATAATCTGTCTTCTAGGATGAGGTATGATTGGGTTTTTATTGTTTGCTTGGTGGTTTTCTGTTGTTATTGTTGTTTGTTTTGGGTTTTTTTTTGAGCCAAGGATATTATGTAGCTCAAGCTTGCCTTCCTGCCTCAGCCTCTTGGGTGCTAGGATTATAGAATCTGTCTTCACTCAAAGTGGCACTTAAAATTTTTTAATTGCATTTATTTATTTGTGTGGATATGGGTATTGTGTGGATACCAATGGGTATGGAAGAGAAGACAACTTGTGGAAGCTGGTTCTTTTCCATCACATGGGTCCCAGGGATTGAACTCAGGTCAATGACAAGTGTCGTTCTTTACCTGCTGAGCCATCTTGTTGGCCATCAAAGTGGCATTTTAAATGAGACAGTATCTCAGTTGGTTCTAGGACTCAAAAAGGTCTCTATAGGCCCAAATGCCCACAGTTACTGGAATGAGTTTAATCACACTGACTGAGGGGTACTTGGGTATATCTCACAATACCGGGGAATACTGCTGTTGGTGACAGAGTTCAAAATAATAATTTTAAAGATCATAATATTGCCAGAAATACATAAATGTAATAAAATTCAAGATAAGTAATCAGGAAGAATATATCTACATTTGAATGCTCTGTTTAGGCATATTGGGTTTTTGTTTGGTGTTTCTGTTTTTCCTCCATGGTTCTAGTAGGTCTTACTACAGGCTTTCTGTGTAATTGCCTCTTTGGCTATCCATGTTATCACAAGCAAATCCAACAGTATGTGCTTCTATTTATTAATACTCTGACAGTACAAAGACAAAACTTCGGTGGGCGAGGGTAGTGCATACCTTTAAACTCAGCACTGAGAGGCAGAGGCAGAGGCAGGCAGATCTCTGTGAGTTCGAGGCCAACCTGGTCTACAGAGTGAGTTCCAGGACAGGGTCTAATGCTACATAGAGAAACCCTTTCTCGAAAAACAAAACAACAACAATAAAAAAGAAAGAAAAAAAAAACACACAATTTATCAAAGTATTACAACCTGAGCTGAACATGGTAGCTCATACCTGTAATCCCAGTGCTTGGGAGGCTGAGGTAGGAGGACTATCCTGAGTTCAAAGCCCATTGGGATACACAGTCAATTTCTGGAAGACAGCCTGAGTTATAGTGAGACCTTATCTCAAAACAAAACAAGGACAGGCATGGTGACAGAGACCTGTAATCTCAGCATTTAGGAGTCAGAGGCAGGTGAATCTGGCTTCTAAGGCCATCCTTAGAAGACACTTTCTTAGAGAAGGGGGGAAGAAGAGGGGAGAGGTGGGCAAGAGGGAACAGGAAGATGGAGACAGGGAAAGAATAGAGGAGAACAAGAAGAGAGATACCATAATAGAGGGAGCCATTATAGGTTTAAGGAGAAATCTGACACTAGGGTAATTCCCAGAGATCTACAATGATGAACCCAACTAACAATCTAAGCATTAGTGAAGAGGCCAGCTTTAATGCCCTTCCATACTAATGAGATTGACAACTACCTTATATGCCATCCTAGAGCCTTCATCTAGTAGCTGATGGAAGCAGAAGCAGACACCCACAGCTAAACACTAGCCGGACTCCTGGAATCCAGTTGCAGAGAGGGAAGAGTGATGAGCAAAGGGGTCAAGACCAGGCTGGAGAAACCCACAGAAACAGCTGACCTGAACAAGGGGGAGCTTGTGCATCCCAGTGTGATAGCTGGGAAACCTGAATGTGGGTGTTAGTTAGGAGAACTGGGAAGTCTATGGGGCCTCTAGTAATGGATCAGTATTTATCTCTAGTATATGAATGGACTTTGGGAGCCCATTCCACATAGGGGATGCTTTCTCAGCCTAGGCACACAGGGCTTAGGCCCTGCCCCAAATGATATGACAGACTTTGAAGACTCCCCATGGAAGGCCTCACCCTCCCTGGGGAGCAGAATGGGGATGGGATGGGGGTTTGGTGGAAATAGGGGAGGATTGGAAGGTGAGGGAACTGGGATTGACATGTAAAACAACCTTGTTTCAAATTTAAATTAAAAAAGGAAAAAAAAAAAATAAAAAGGAAAACTCTTTTAGAAAAAAATCTGGATATAACAGAGCTACTGGAAACATGAACTCACAACAGCTATGGACACTTACACAAGACCTGCATAAACTCAATCCAGTCAAAATCTGAGCATGTATAAGGGAGGGCCACCAGAACTGCCACCTCTAATTAAGGGACTAATGATATTTGATGGCTACAAAGAGGAAGAGTCCATTTTCTTCAGGGATGCAGCCTGATGGGTTGCCCCCACTCTATTCCATTGGACAACACTAGATTTATGTGTCTATGAGGGCTCCAATGGAACTCAGTAGGTTTTAAAAAACATGGAGTTAGAAGGGAAATGTTAGGGAGGCCAAAGAGGAGCTAGAGCAGAGGAATGGAGGTGAATGTGATCAAAATACACTATATACATGTATGAAAGTCCCAAAGAATAAATAAAAATATGTACACCCCCGATCACGAGAGGCCAGTGCTCTACCAGTGAACCAGAACGGCTTGCTTTTCCCTCTCTCAGGACGTTTTCCACAAACACATGAGTACACTCATGACCAAAGCATCAATTAGGACAGCTGGCATTTTGTTTCAAGACAGGATTTTATGTAGATCAGGTTGGCCTCCAATTCACTCTGTAACTGAGGGTAGTCTTTGAACTCCTGATCCTCCTGCCTCCATCTCCCATGCTAGGATTATACCTGGGTTTAGGGAATCTGGGGTGGGGTGGCAATTGCTGTTTTTCTTCTTTCTGCTTCTGTCCCATCCTTCTCTGTCTGTAGAGAACTTTACACTGACTTAACAAAGATACTGTCAACACCAACACCAATGGGCCTCCCTCATCTCTTAGTTAGAAGGACATGTACTTGAATTTAAGAAACTGTGTTTCCCTTTTGTCATTTTTACTTGTCTATTCATTTTGAGACAGTCTCACTATATAGCTCTGACTGGCCTGAAACGCACACAGATTCCCCTGAAGGTGCTGGGCTGAAGGTGTGAGCCACAAAGCCTAGCAAGAGTTTTACCTTACTATGCAATTACTCACCTAACAAATCGGAAAGACTTTTCTCCCTTTTTCTTGCCACTTCTTCCTGAACTTCACACAGCATGTATTCAATATTCATTACTGCTTCAATGAGGTCAGCCTGGGCACCTCTAATCTCGAGAGTGGCCTTTAGGGGACTGACAGTCTCTGAAATGGAGACACCTGAGGTTGTCTGGAGCTGAGAAAGCTTGTCGTGCTCCTTCTTCCCAAGATAGAGAATATGATTATTCTCAATGACGTGGCGGTCCTCGGAAGTCACCAACCTCTCAATCCACTCTTTGGCCTCACACATCTCTGCCACGTTTACACCCGTCAGATTGATGGCAGGGGATCCAGCTTTGAGTCCACTCCTTTGCTCCCCTCCGGTCCCCTGGGGGACTGGAACAACTATCAAAAACAAATACAGAAGGCTGGTGGGTTTTCCAATAGTACAGAATATCACAGCCACCGTTTGCCCCGAGGATATTACCACCACTGTCAGCAACAGCGGCTAACACCTATCTGTAAAACCTACACTGGCCACAAGGGAATCTATAGGCACAGCTTATGGCTTCAGTATAAACATATCAGCTAGCTTAGAAGATGATGGACTTATTATCTCCACCCTCTGCTCTGTGTGGGTGGAGATAAGTAAGTTTACCCATTCTCACCTGCTAAGTGACATATCCTTAGCCTCTTGCACCTACCAGACTTAAACACCAAAAGCTATATGATTCAAGGAAATACAATGTGTTTTTTTAAAAAACAGTTGGGCTGTGGTGGTGCCACCTTTAATCCCAGCACTTGGGAGGCAGAGGCAGCAGTCAAATCTCTGAGTTTGAAGTCAGAGTGCTCTACAGAGTGAGTTCTAGGTCATCCAAAGCTACACAGAGAAACTCTGTGTGTGTGTGTGTGTGTGTGTGTGTGTGTGTGTGTGTGTGTGTGTGTGTGGTGTGTATGTGGTGTGTGTTGGGAGGGTGGGGGGATCAGCCTGCCTCTCCCTCCCAAGTGCTGGGATTAAAGCAACACACTAGCACCTCCCAGCACAGAAACATATTTTGAGGGGAGAAAAAGCAAGTTAAAAAAACTACTCAGGACACTGTTCTAAGGGCTTTACCCGTAGTACTTTATTTAAGGCACAGCCACAGAGATGGGAACTATTTAGTTCATCTTACAAATGAAGTCATTGAAGATCCAAGAGTCATTTAGTAACTTGTATATGGCTGTAGAACTAGTTAATCATGTCCACCAAGCTAGTGGGTGGGGCATCTGACCCTAATGATTACACACTCTCCTATGTAGTAATCCTCAGACAATAGGGTAGGGGCTGGGGATTTGGCTCAGTGGTGAAGATGAGGAATTGCTCTTCCAGAGGACCTGAGTTCTAGTCTCACCACATGACTAAAAAAATAAATAAGTAAAAGACACCAGGGTAGTATTACCTTCTAGCTAGGTGGAACCAGGAGGTCTGGAAAGCAATAGTACAGAACTAGAAGGGAGGAGCTAGGGAGCTGAGCTGAAATAAAAGTCAATGTCGAAGACAACAAAAATGAAAAGGGAATTTTAATTGGAGGCATACTGCTTGCCATTTTAAATACTTTTGGAGAATTTATACATTACTTTCTAGAAGGGCACAGAAACAACACATAGTGGTACTTCCTTGGTCCATCATTATTAAGAGAGAAGCATTACCTCTGAAAACTAAATTGTTCAAATCACTAAGGGTAATCACTAAGGGTAAGTTTTCTTTTCTTTTTTTTTTTTTTAAGATTTATTTATTTTATGTGTATGAGTACTCTATCTTCATATACAACTTCATGTGAGAAGAGGGCACCAGATCTCATCACAGATGGTTGTGAGCCACCATGTGGTTGCTGGGAATTGAACTCAGGATCTTTGGAAGAGCAACCAGTGCTCTTAGCCACTGAGCCATCTCCCCAGTCCCTAAGGGTAAGTTTTCTAAGAACTAAAATGCATTCAATTAACTATTTATTATATAAATGTTCCTAATGAAAATGTGCTTCTCTTCATCCCTGGCTAGTTTAACCTTTCCTTGATAATCTAAGACAAACTGTATCAAACTTCTGAATGGCAGTTATGTTTCTGTAGTTTCTAATTTCTTTACAGATATGTTCAAGAACTACTGAATAAATCGTGATCCTTTTCTTAGCACTTCAGTTTAACATACATACATATATTTATTTATTTATTTGTTTGTTTGTTTGTTTGTTTTTTGGAGACAGGGTTTCTCTGTATGGCTTTGGAGCCTGTCCTGGAACTAGCTCTATAGACCAGGCTGGCCTCGAACTCACAGAGATCCACTTGCCTCTGCCTCCTGAGTGTTGGGATTAAAGGCGACATATACAACTTTTATATTCCCCTTTTGCATTTCAGCTTTACCTAAAACTCCATCCCTTACCTGTTCCCCTGTATCCCACATGACTTCACAAACATGTGGCGCATTGTTCCCTTCTATTGGTTTTACTCATCTCAGGTGCTACCCCTCCACTGCTGGCTGATGGAAATCTTTCCAGCCCAAAGCTCACCTTAGAAACATCCTTGTCCTTGTCCAGGAAGCCATTCTGGTTCCCTCCCAGTCTGAAGGAATCTTTCCTTCTTCCACTCTACCTGAGGAGTCTGGCCATCTGACCCTTCTTATTTGCCCTCTGGAACTACTTTAATGCTTTGTAATTTTAATTTATAAAATATCCTTTGATAATTGGAAATTATCAAAATATTGTCTATTATTTTTTTAAATTACAGTTGTGATGTGTGTGTGTGTATGTGAGCACATGTCACATGTACTATTGTACACATTTGGAGGTCATAGGACTATTTGTGAGAGTCAGTTTTCTCCTCCTACCATGTGGATTCTGGGAGTTGAATTCCAGTCATCAGGCTTGGCAGCAGGCGCTCTCACCTGATTAGCCATTTCACTTGTTCATAATCACCTACTGTTATCCTCACTTTACAGACAAAGAAATAAAGGCTCCTAAGAAGCACCACCCCAAGACTCTTAACAGAAATACCCTTCTGTACTTGCAAGCACTCCTGAGCCATTAAATGTTCCACCCCAGACCACTCACATTCCAGTCTGAGACCAAACTAATCTCACTGGCAACAACATCCAAGATCGGTTTAATTCATCAGCCCCAAACCTAGCTCAGCTGTGAAATCAACTAGACAGTTTTTAAAGAGACCTGCTTGACCTGGACCAGAGTTCCTGAATCAGACTCTGTCGGCAGAACCCCACTTTTCTTTCGTGTAGCCTGGGATGGCCTCAAACTTGTTATCTAAATAGAGAATGACGTGAATTTCTGATTCGCCTGTCCCCACCCAGGTACCATTATGCCTGTAGGACTCTACATTTCCTACTCACCACTGTTACTGCTGAGATTCAGCTCAATGGATCTCTTCATCATTTCAGAACAAAAAGCCTAAAATAAGCAAAGCACAGCAGTCTTAACAGGGAGGGCAAGTGTAAGAAAAATCTCTGCCTGCATACATCACACCACTCTGTCATCAGGCTCCCTTCCCACTACCACGAGTCCTTAGGCCACAAGCAAGCTTTAGACAATCCAAGAGAGCACAGGTAGGACTATGAACTTCTACAGCAGTAGTTCTCAACCTGCGGCGGGAAACTCCCTGGGGCCAAATATCAGATATCCTGAATATCAGATATTTACATTATGAGTCCTAACACTATCAAAACTACAGTTATGAAGTAACAATGAAATAATTTTATGGCTGGGGGTCACCATAATACACAAGGAACTGTATTAAAAAGTTATAGCATCACTGTATTAGAACATCTGAGAAATGAATACAGGTAAAATTAAAAGAAAAACAAAACCTGGTATTAATGTTGTACTGCATTAAAGCTCAAATTAATATATAGATCACTTCTAAATGTTATGAGCATACCAAACTGTTTTATATGGGCTAACTATTGTAAAAATACTTAAAGTTCTTTCTGATTCAAAATGAGTATTCAATATATATTAGATTAAGGTAATTATTGTTACAGGATAGTCTCCCGAAAAAAAGTCACTATTTCCAGACATATCCTTTAAGAGAGAGTCTACTTGAAATAAATGAAATGTCTTAGGTGTTTGGGCATACCTTATCCAATTCCCTTCTTGTTCAAAGTTGATACAATGGACAATAACTACTTTATTGAAAACTGATAATGTTGATGAGAAAAGACTAGAAGACTAGATTTTGCTTTATCTTTATCTGTACTTCAAAAACAAAGTGTGTCTGTGTGTGTTTGAGTGTATTTGGGCAGATTCTCACTGTCTTACTATGCATTCCTGGATGGTCTAGATCTCATTATGTAGACCACACTGGCCTCAAACTAGAGATCCTGGTTCTTTGTGATTTTTGGGGGGGCGGTGGAGATAGGGGTTTCTCTGTGTAGCCCAGGTTGCCCTGGATCAACTCTTTCTGTGGACCAGGCTGGCCTCAAACTCATTCACAGATCCACCTGCCTCTGCCTTCTGAGTGCTGAGATTAAAGGCGTATACCAACTGACCCAACTCAGCAATGAATTTTCTTAGTCTACAGAACGTTTCCTTTATAAATTGTATTTGCAGCTTCTATTTCCAGGGCAAAAAAAAAAAAAAAAATAAATAAATAAATAAATAAAATAAAATAAAAAAATAAAAAAATAAAAAAAAATTTTTTTTTTTAAGTCCCTTGATCTAACCACATTTAGTTACCTGAAAATAGGATTGTTCCCTGCCATCCTCATCCAAGAACTTGGAAGTAAAGCAAATGAGCTAACATTTTCCATTGATAAACAGAGTGTAAGAGAGGCCATATTCAAAGGATAAAAGTCAGTTCTCTGGCATGTCATTTAGAAGTAGGAGGTGTTGCAGAGTTAGAAACGCTTAGGCAAAGCTGTTGACTGAAATGTGATGAAAAACTGAGAGGTGGGAATAGAGGGCAAGGTGTGGCAGTGTTCTTCCAGCTCTGTCCAATAGGAATGAACACCCGATCTGGGAGAGGCCACCGACATGTTTGGGAGAGCTGTTCCTTACTCTGAGACAAATGCCTGGCTTAGGATAATAAGCAAGAAATATTTGCTAAATAACTCTCTATAGCCTTTTATAGATACCCAGCTCTATCCAGGACAAAAACCATCACAAAATACCCCAAAGGAGGGGCAGGGGGTAAGGAAGCAGGGGAGAAAGAATGATCCCACACCAAAAATAGGCTGCTTACCTTTAAGGAGCAGAGAGAATAAATTCAACAGGAAAGGAAAAAGCAAAGTAGCTTGAACATAGTTTTGAAAATGATCTTGGCTTAGAGTGATCTTTGGTCAAGGGTGGGTAATTTGTAGAAATTAAATTAAATCGTGGGATCCTAGCTCATTCATTGCCTTAGACTAGAGATATTAGTTAGACAGTGGTGATGAATCAAGGAATTCTTAAGACATTTCCAAGATGCTAACTCACTGTGTATATATCCACAGCCGATGGAAAGATCACAATCCTTACAGTCAGGGTTTTCTTCATGTGCTTTTTGGCAAATGCTAAAATTTCATCTAACATTATCCTGGCTGCTGTATTCTTCTCTATGTCAATCATTCCTGTCCCAAGGGCAGGAAAAGAAATGGAATGTATATCTGGTTGGAGGCATTTTTCCAGACAGCTCTTCATTGCATCTTTCAGTATCTGGAAGATAAATACAAGGTGAAGTTCAACCTCGGAGTTGAAAATAAACTGAGGCAACTGAATGCTACCCAGAGTTCTTGAGAGCTGTGAACTCTGCCAGTTATGTAGCCTTGACTGTCCCCCTAGCGCAGGGAGCCAAGCATCAGTGTGACACACACCTGGCACTCCCAAGCCAACAGAGTCCCTGACTTTAATGGAGATGGAGAGTAAAAATGAGGGAAACAGTATTCCTTCAACATGACTACAACTACTGTGTACCTTCTCCTGGAGAAGTGCCAATAGTCTTAGATTTAAATTTCCATCAACCTTTCTTTCTTTCTTTCTTCCTTTCTTTCTTTCTTTCTTTCTTTCTTTCTTTTACTTTTCTTTCTTTTTTTTTTTTTTTTTTTTTTTTTAAGGAAAAAAGTCTTAATATGCACTCTGGCTAGCCTGAAACTCACCATGTATAGTATGTGGCCTCAACTCACAGAGCTCTGCCTGCATTTGCCTCCCAAGTGTTAGGATTAAAAACAAATAAACAAACAAACAAAGGAGTGGTCTACCAATCCAGGGTAACCCTCTATTAACTTTTCAGTATTATATTGAATTACTATATATAGACAGAAAAGTTTTCTGTAAAGAACCTAGGAAAGATGAAGCATGAAGAATGACTGGAAGGCCAATCTGGGATTAGAGACCTCTCTAAAGCAGAGAAAACACACACACACACACACACACACACACACTTACTTTAGCTGTGATGGCTTATAATGCTGTCACTCAGGAGGCAGATACAATTCTCCTATATCTGCCACCCAACTTTTGGGACACAAATTCACCAAAAAGCCACTTGTTTGTCTGTGGCTTTGCAGCTACCAGCACATGCGGAAGCTGCAGGAGGCCCACAGTCTACTCCACCAGCTAAGCTTTTCCTTCCTTTTCCTCAAGCGAGTTGGGCTTTTTCTATTGTAGCCTCTCTTCTTATCTGCAGCTTTTGGCTCCAATTGTATGGAACAGACCCCCACCCAGGCCCCTGCTTTTAGCAGCCATGACAGGCTGCAGAAAAGACATGTAGGTCTCTGAGTCAGCATGTATCACAAAGGAACTACAGGACAGTCCAAACCCTATGCTTAGTTCCTGGATACTATATTGTATGCAACAGGCCTAGAGTCAAAACTAGATACAAAGAAACTCCAAAACAACCTTCCTCTTAAACTTAATTCCTGGAAATTGTGTGTGACCACAAAGAAAATTCAGGACTTTACTGGAAACTATGTACAACAGACCACCTTCAAGAGATAAACAAAGCCTCAGAAATCACCAAATGCCCCATCTGTAGCTAACTAATCGAAAGCATTGACAAAACAGTTGCCCTGACTCTGAAAAATTCCCCTAATCGTTCCCTAAATGTCAACCAATTAGGATCTGACCCATGCCTCTCCCTACCTACTGATCTAATTCTATGACTTTTGCCTTCAAACACTCCTGCAGTAGCCTAGGTGGGTACTCTGTCTAGAGGCTGCTGTGTCAGCCTGCATGACAGAGTCAGTACTGGTAGGATTAAACAATAAAGCCTTATGTTGGCAGTTCAGTGAGTCTGTCTTCCTGGTGGTCTTTGGGGATCTTCACAACTTGACCACAACACAATATCTGCAGGAGTTAATCGTGCTCTCATATTCACCTGTGCAGACAACTGGCTCTTTGGCTTGTTTTCTCCCAGTGGGTTATGGGCTTTCCCTGGAGCCTCTCCTTGGGCTGCTACCACACTAGGTAGCTGCATTTAAAACTGCTCAGTCTTTACTGTTCTGCCAGTAAAGAGTAGTCAGTCCCACACTTCACCATCATCTGAATCATCATCAGCAGATTTGATGAGACAATCAAGAATCCTTAAAGGGTAGAATTAGTTAAAAGAGAGGATTTTTTTTCCCACATTAAAAAATGGGAAACATTCTGGGCAGTGGTGGGGTCCAGCACTGGGGGGGGGGGCAGAGGCAGGCCCCCACGTCAAATTCGGTTCAGTTGTTTCCTATCATTGCTGAAGAAACTCCTTGCCAGATCAATTAAAGAACCTAATGCCTATTATATATATATATATATATATATATATATATATATATATATATAAAACTATACTGTTCTATAGAAGAGAGAACAAAAAATTCAGGAGAAACCATAAAGCAAGTATTTTGGCTAGCTTCTATAAGTGAACAAAGACCAAAATTAAAAACATGAAAAAAATGACATTGTCATTGAAGGTCTAGAAGACAGCAGTGTAGATATAACAATACTTGCACCAGAATCTTGGCATCCAAATTGGCTTCTTCAGGAAGTAAATGTTCAGCTTTTAGGGATTTGAATGTTATCTTAGGTAAAACAGCATGAGATAGGTCAAATATATAGAGTCAGAAGGACAGAGAGGAAAATTAAAGCCATATATGGCTAACATAACAATGAATTTATGGGACCATGGTTTGTTGCAAAAATGGAATACCCAGATTAACATTCCTCCAATCTCAGAAACAAGCCGTAAATTAATATAAAAATCTTAGAATGTATTAGAAAGAACAATCACTGACCATTCAGGTTGTATGAGAACAGGGCACAACAGCTGCTGATCTTCCAAAGGTATCAACAGTTCTACCTTTAAAATGGTTGGCAGACAAACCTGTATGGGTTGTGCCTTTAATTTCAAAGAAACTGCAGGTCTTAGAATAGCTGGCAGAGGAGCAACCAAACGCTCAGCATAATGAAGAATCAACCAGATATTGGAATTCTGCTGTATTTGTTATTAAAAAGAAATCTGAGAAATGGAGAATGCTAACAGATCTATGACTGGTTAAGATGATTCACCCAATGGGATCTCTACAGTCTAGAATTCCTTTGCCTTCTCTATTACCTAAAGGATGGCTTCTTATAGTTACTGATTTAAATAATTGATTCTTCACTATACCTTTACAAGAAAAAGACAGAGAAAAATTTGCCTTCACAGTGCCTACTTATACTAATTCTCAGACTGTTAGGAGATATCAATGGAAGATTTCTCCCACAGAATATTTTGTACAATAGCCATAATCAATTTCCTCAATCTACATTTTATCATTACATGTATGACATCTTACTAGCTGATTTAAATGCAGATAGTTTAGAAAAAAAAAACAATGTTTGAAGAATTAAAGAAAATTTTGCCTTGTTGGGGATTACAAATTGCTCTTGAAAAAAATACAAAGAGGAGATTCTATTACTTATGATATAAAATAAGTCTACAGAAAACTAGGCCCCAAAAGTGCAGATTAGGACAGATTGATTTCAGGACCTTTAATGACATTCAAAGATTGCCAAGAGACATTTCCTATCTACAGCTGTCTATCGGGGTACACAGAAATGAACTGAGTAATTTGTTCAAACCTTAGACAGTGACAAGGACTTACATAGTCCAAGAGAATTATCAGCTAAAGCTGACAGAGAATTAGCTTTGGTGGAATAGAAATTCAGGATGTGCATGTAGATGGTTTGGATCCAGAGCTTGATGGCATTCTGGTTATTGCACCCTCTACCCTTCTATACATTCTCCACAGGAATATTAATGCAGAGGGAAGATATAATCTTAGAATGTATAGTTTTACCACATAAACAGAGTAAAAAATTAAAAACGTCTGTGGAAAAGATTTCTGAGTTGATTCTAGAAGGAATATTGAGACTTTGTCAATTAGTAGGAATAGACCTAGCAAAAAAGTGTAATACCTTTTATTAATGCTGAAATTGGCTTATTATGGGTAGAAAATGAACATTAGCAAAGAGCTTGTAGTAATTTTTTTGGGGGGGGGATTAACAACAACTATCCCAAAAGCAAGATAATTGAAATTATAAAGAGAACTAAGTAGATTCTTCCTCATTTTGTATGGGGAATACCAATTTCTGGAGCCCCTATATTTTATACAAACAAATGAGGAAAGGCAGGATATAAATCAGGAAATTCAAGTAAAGTGGCTGAAAGCCCTTATGATTCTTTCCAAAAGTCAGAATTATATGCTAATCTAATGGTATTGGCGGCTTTTTGTTTTGTTTTGTTTGTTTTTTCGAGACAGGGTTTCTCTGTGTAGCTTTGGAGATCAGGCTGGCCTTGAACTCACAGAGATCTGCCTGCCTCTGGCCTCAAACTCACAGAGATCTTCCTGCCTCCGCCTCCCGAATGTTGGGACTAAAGGCATGCACCACCACCACCCAGCTGTCATTAATGGATTTTACAGAACCTCTTAACATAGTTACTGACTCAGTATACAGAAAGAGTTGTTTTACACATTGAAACTGTTGAATTTATTCTTGATGAGTCAGAATTGAATTTATTATTTATTCAGTTACAAGAAATAATCAAGGATAGGGATCATTCCACATGTATATAACACACATCTGATCCCATATGGGCCTGCCAGGCCCGTTAGCACAAGATAATGGTGAAATTGATCAACTATTGATAGGAAATGTGCTGGAGGCCTCAGCGTTTAGTAAAAAACCACAATGTCAATAGCAAGGGTTTGGAGAAGGATTTTCCTATCACTTGGCAACAAGCCCAGGAAATGGTAAGTGAATGTCCTACTTGTTCTTTATACAACCAAACTCACCACCTGCAGGAAGTAACCCAAAGGGTACTCAAAGGAATGAAATCTGGCAGATGGATGTGTTTCACTTTGTAGATTTTGGAAAATTAAAATATGTACACTACATCACTGATACCTATTCAGGATTTCTTTGGGCAGCTAGCTGCTTTGAGTTCTGAAAAGGCTGATTCTGTAATCTCACATTTGTTAGAAGTTATGGCCATCAATGGAATACCTGTACAAATTAAGACTGACAATGCTCCAGCATATGCCTCTAGTAAAATGAAACAGTTTTTTTGCTTATTATAATGTAAAGAATATTACAAGTACACCATATAATCCTACAGTGTAAGCAGTTATGAAAAGGTCAAATTGAACTCTAAAGTTCAATGCTAAACAATCAGAAAAGGATCATTAAGATCCCCC